GTGAGCGGGAATCGAACCCGGGTCGCCAGGTTCATAGCGCAGCGCGCTAACCGTTACACTACCGCTCCCCACAGACATACACACAGACAGGCACACAGACACACACACAGACAGACACACACAGACAGACACACACACAGACACACAGATCGCCGCTGTGGCCGACCTTTGTAACTCACTTATCCTCCGCGATTCCCAAGGCGAGGATCGTATACACTGACTCAGTAGCATATCTTGGAAACTAGAGCCCAGCCAACAATTTTAAGCGTCATTTTCGTTCTCAGTGACCCAGAATGAGTAAAGTTGGACTTTGCTGGAGCAGCGCTGTCCCAAGCGCCGCTCCCCCTTGACCGGTGCCACCTTGAGGGGGGCACACGCCCAGTGCCGGGTTATCCTGGTAGCAAGAGTCGCTACGACACGTGTAGTAGCTGCTACACGTGTCGTAGCAAGAGTCGCCACGACACGTGTAGTAGCTACTACACGTGTCGTAGCAAGAGTAGCTGCACATGTAGTAGCTACACATGTAGTAGCTGCTACACGTGTCGTAGCAAGAGTAGCTGCACATGTAGTAGCTACACATGGTTTAGCTACACATGGTTTAGCTACACATGTAGTAGCTGCTACACGTGTCGTAGCAAGAGTAGCTACACATGTAGTAGCTACACATGTAGTAGCTACACATGGTTTAGCTACACGTGTAGTAGCTGCTACACGTGTAGTAGCAAGAGTAGCTGCACATGTAGTAGCTACACATGTAGTAGCTACACATGGTTTAGCTACACATGTAGTAGCTGCTACACGTGTCGTAGCAAGAGTAGCTACACATGTAGTAGCTACACATGTAGTAGCAACACATGGTTTAGCTACACGTGTAGTAGCTGCTACACGTGTAGTAGCAAGAGTAGCTGCACATGTAGTAGCTACACATGTAGTAGCTACACATGGTTTAGCTACACATGTAGTAGCTGCTACACGTGTCGTAGCAAGAGTAGCTACACATGTAGTAGCTACACATGTAGTAGCTACACATGGTTTAGCTACACGTGTAGTAGCTGCTACACGTGTAGTAGCAAGAGTAGCTGCACATGTAGTAGCTACACTAGTAGTAGCTACACATGGTTTAGCTACACATGTAGTAGCTGCTACACGTGTCGTAGCAAGAGTAGCTACACATGTAGTAGCTACACATGTAGTAGCTACACATGGTTTAGCTACACGTGTAGTAGCTGCTACACGTGTAGTAGCAAGAGTAGCTGCACATGTAGTAGCTACACTAGTAGTAGATACACATGAACCGGAATTGATAGTAGCTACCGGAATTGATAGTAGCAGCTACTACATGTAGCAGCTACTACATGTAGCAGCTACTACATGTAGCAGCTACTACATGTAGCAGCTACTACATGTAGCAGCTACTACATGTAGCAGCTACTACATGTAGCAGCTACTACATGTAGCAGCTACTACATGTAGCAGCTACTACATGTAGCAGCTACTACATGTAGCAGCTACTACATGTAGCAGCTACGGGCCCCGTACTTTCAAGGGCCCCGCGCTAAACGCTTTCAAGCTATCAATTCCGGTTCAGTGATTCTGCACTTGCTCTATTACTATAGTCCTCTACTGCCTTCAACTTCTATGAACGACTGGGTGTTTATGGTTAGCGATTTGTCGTATTATCTGGCTGTATAGCAAATGAATAAAATACAATTACTTTCATATACAAGTAAAAAATTGGTGTTTTAATATTTATGTTGTTTTTTTCTTCCAAATTTAGGGCCCCTTCATCAAATATGCTCCAGGTCCCGCGCTAGCTTCGCACGGCACTCCAAATACCACCGCGGATTTATCTTGAGGCCCGCCGTCGAGAACCGAGGCCCGCCGTCGAGAACCGAGGTCCGCCGTCGAGAACCGAGGCCCGCCGTCGAGAACCGAGGCCGCAAGGCCACCGAGGCCTGCGTCTGGCCGGGCGGAGGCCCCGCACCGCGAAGCCGCGAGGCCCCGTTGCTGCCGCGAGCGTCACCGCGGGGCTCGTGCCAGGCTACGTGCACCTTGAGGCCGTCACGTGAAGCGTGGACAGGCTGCTGGCAAGAGGTCACCGGACAGACCCAGGTGCTATGGGTTGACTGATGTGCCAGGCTAGGTGCAGGAGGTCACGTGACAGACCCAGGTGGTATGGGTTGACTGATGTGCCAGGCTAGGTGCAGGAAGTCACGGAACGGATCACAGGAGGCGAGGCACGCGGGGAGGCGAGGGGGACGGTGGGGGGGACAGGGGGGAGGGGGCGAGCTGGTGGGAGAGGATGCCGTTAGGGAAAGGGAGCCGGGGGGAGGGGGCACCAAGGGGAGGGGGAGCCGGGGGGAGGAGGAGCCAGGGAGGAGGGGGGCTAGGGAGGAGGGGGGCCAGGGAGGAGGGGGGGGCCAGGGAGGAGGGGGGCCAGGGAGGAGGGGGAGCCAGGGAGGAGGGGGGCCAGGGAGGAGGGGGGGGCCAGGGAGGAGGGGGGGCCAGGGAGGAGGGGGGGGCCAGGGAGGAGGGGGGCCAGGGAGGGGGGGTTGCTGGTAGGAGTGAGGCACGAGGGGTGTGAGAAGGGCGCAGAGGGAGGCGGTGGGTGGGGGTAGAGGGGGGGGGGCTGGGCGAGGCCACGCCCCTCACACCGTCTCACGCGGCTCGTCATTAACCTGTCGCCCTCCACCCTCCCCCCGTGCAATGACGACCGTGGTGGTGGTGGTGGTGTTAACGAACCGCATCTCACTGGCTCACAGCACAGACAAAGGTCCCCCGATTAGCCCTAGCAGACTGAATGGGCAAGTGTTGTTAGCGAGCACACGAGGGGGTGGGTGGCCAGCACCACGCCCGACCGCCTTTGTCTCCCCAGTGGCGATGTTTACTACGCACCGCACCAGGTACCCATTCGAGGCTGAGTCGACCTAGAGGGGAGACTCGTGCCCCGGTTCCGGTACTTTCAAAGCGACGTTGACCCCGAGCGGGAATCGATGTCGGGTCGCCGGGTTTCTAGCGCAGTGCGCTAACCACTGCGCCACGACTCCACCCCACACACTCACCTGCACGCACACTCCTCACCCAGCCTCTCACCAACACCACCACAACAACAACGCCGACACTCTGATGATGTCAACGCGTAAGTCATTGTCTCCACCACACGGTACCTGCTCCTTGTCGCTCTCGTAGAGAGGGGACGATTCAGAGGGAGGGGAGGACGACTCAGAGAGAGAGAGGACGACTCAGAGCGAGAGATAGGACGACTCAGAGAGAGAGTGAGGGGACGATTCAGAGGGAGAGAGTGAGGGGACGATTCAGAGGGAGGGGAGGACGACTCAGAGAGAGAGAGAGGACGACTCAGAGAGAGAGGACGACTCAGAGAGTGAGAGAGGACGACTCAGAGAGTGAGAGAGGACGACTCAGAGAGAGAGAGGACGACTCAGAGAGAGAGAGGACGACTCAGAGAGAGAGGGGACGACTCAGAGAGAGAGAGGACGACTCAGAGAGAGTGAGAGAGGACGACTCAGAGAGAGAAAGAGGGGACGACTCAGAGAGAGAGAGAGGACGACTCAGAGAGAGAGGACGACTCAGAGAGAGAGGACGACTCAGAGAGAGAGGACGACTCAGAGAGTGACTTTTGACTTTTAAACAACTTTTATCGCCGCCAGCAGCCACAGTACTGGAGACGATTCCGATACGAAATACACAAAGTCACCAGCAACACAAATAAACAACAGACACTTTACATCCACGCGCTGTGGCGCTAAATGCACCGCGAAAGAGACGTCACGTGGTGGTGGTGTTCATCGCGCACGCCACGGTGACGAGCGAGCGCTTCAGAAGGTGAACACGTGGGGTGGTGCCGTCCATGCTGGTACAGAGGGGGGCTTGTCCGGCTCCCCAGCGTTTGAAGAAGACGCGCTGCACATCACCGACATGTGAGTGGTATGCGTGCTCCAGCCGGAGCCGCGCCTTGAGCAGGCCCCTGAACACTGACGACCCCTCGTCCCCTGAATAACATCTGCGGAGCAAGGCGTGCCCATGTCAGCAATTTAGCCTCGATTGTGTCGGCCAGCTCGGTCCAGTTGTTCAGAATGACGTCACGTGGTTTCCCCAGGTAAACCCCCAGGTACTTGGCTCCGTCGTCCCACCAAACGACTCCTCCTGGGAGGAGCACAGAGCGAACGCCGCCTCGCGACCCCAAACACACAGAGGGGGCCTCGCACTTGGGCCAGTTGACCCTGGCGGAGGAGGCCCTCTCGTACGCTGCAATCGCCTGGCAGAGCACGGAGGCGTCACGTGACGCATCGTTGAGCACGACGCATCACGACGTCGTCGTCTGCGTAAGCCGAGAGCTTGACGACCACGTTCTCAGGTCCCGGGACCTTGAGGCCAGACAGATTTCGTCTCAGGTGGCGTAGCAGTGGCTCAATGGACAGGGTGCACAGCAGCCCCGAGAGGGGGCATCCCCGTCTGACCCCCCTCGTCACAGGGGGCACCGAGCCACTGGTTTATCTTCAAGAGTCTGGATGTGCCCCCCGTGTACAGGAGCCTCACGTGCGAGATGAAGGCCTGGCCGAAGCCGAGCGACGTTAGGAGTTTGTCCACGGTACTCGTGGCTCGCCCTGTGAAAGGCCTTCTCCTGATCCAAGAAGAGGAGGCCTCGGCAGGACCACTCAGAGAGGGGGGGGGGGGCGACTCAGAGAGAGAGAGAGGGGGCGACTCAGAGGTGACAGGAGGAGGAACCACAGACGAGGAGCGGGAAGGCAGAAGCAGCCATGCAGTGTGGGGCCAGCGTTACCAACAATTGCCCAATATCTGTGTACCTCTATATATGAAGGCGTCATCGGCCAATTAATGCGTGTTTATTGTTCGTGTGCAGTGTAATAGCGCCGGCTGGTGGACAGCAGCGGCAACTGCGGTGGACAGGCAAGCACACACGCCGGTAAAGGGCGTGCACGGTGCGTGCGGGGCAGAGCGGAGGAACTTGGGCAAGGGTCATGGAGGACCCCGTCTGGAGGCCCCTTGGACCTGCCAGCGGGTTTGAGAAGGGAGGCGAGGTCAGGGCGGAGCCAGGGCCGCGGGCGCTCGAGGCTGCCGGTGCTGGGAGTGGACTCGCCTCGTCGTCGCTGTCGCCGTCGTCGCTGCGTTTCCCGCTAGATATTGCGCTGCCAGAGAGTCGTTGGCTGTCTCAGTGAGCGTCGCTAGTGTTAGACGGCTAGCGCTGTGTATAGGCCAGGCTAAGCGACTGTAGAGAGTGTGCAGGCGACACCGCGAATGCTACTAAATAAAAGAACGTGGCTCCTACAAACCTCCTCTCCGAATCATTGACACTACACGTGCGCCCGGAGAAAATTCATGCGTGCGAGGGTGCAATGCTCCATCCCGATGCAGATGGAGCAGATGGAGACGAGTCTACACTTTGCTTCCGCAGGTGAGCCGGGCTAAGACGGCTGTCTCCCCGACGCCCACGGGAAGGGAGTGTCACAATATTTGTGTGTGATCCACCAACCCCTCGCTGCTGCCTCTGCACAGCTGCACTACCCACAGCTGCCGCCACCCCGTCGATGGCCCTCGCATTCAATTTGGAAGAGAAAAATAAATCAGCGTCGGACTGGTCGCAGCAGCAGCAGCAGCAGCGGCAGCAGCTTCCCGCGAGCGGGGTGCAAGTCCGGGGCTACGCGAGGCAGCGAGGGACCGGTGGTGCCAGCGGTTACCCAAGCTCCACGCTCATCGACACGATAAGATGTTCTCAGCCAACTATTCACGGTCCTGATTTGAAGCTTGTGGACACGTGCCACGGTGGCTAGGAGATGTTAACTGCCTCGCCTGGTGTACAGGAGGTCGTGACCGCTGCTGCTGCTGTATATTTGCAGCTTGCGTGTCTCTCTTTCCCGTCGTTCCGTGGATTTTTTTCCGGGACCTCTCGGGTTTCCCTCCAAATTTAGAATCGACATCACTCGTTAAGAGTATTTGGCCACTTCCCTTACATTAGCACACCATGGGCTATCATTTATGGCTATGTCGCTTCTGAAAAAGAGCTGCTGTACATTCGTCAGTTAAAAAAGAAAGTTTTAATAGATTTCGGAGACTGCGATGGCTGTCAGATGCGCCAACTGTACCATCTTGCTGCGCTTTAGTGACACGTACGGCAAAGATCCCCCGTGGAGCCTCAAGAGACTGTTGGGGCAAGTGCTGTATGCGAGCACCACGAATACAAAGACAAAGATTCCCCGTATAGCCTTAACCGACTGTTGGGGCAAATTACTGACATGGGCACGCCTAGCTCCGCAGATGTCCTTCAGGGACCGAGTGCTCGTCGCTAGCACCTTGGCTGCATCCGTGCTGAGCACAAGACCAAGGCCCTCCAGCCTCACGCTTGGCTATTCACCAGAGTCAACCTCTCACTCGCGCGCTTCCTCTGGCACGGGAAGCCCCGGCTCAGGCCGGGCGTTCTCTGCCTGCCGGTGGCCGAGGGCGGCCAGGGTCTGGTGGACGTCGCCGCCAGGGTCACGAGTTTCAGGCTCGTGGCAGTCAGGCGGCTGCTGTACGACCGGGAGGAGCTTCCCTGGAAGTCGCCGGCCCTCGCCCTGCTGAGGAATGCAGGGGGGTGCCTGGGGTACGGAAAGGAGCTCTTCCAGATGGACCTGAGCCTGGTCGACTACACGAGGCTGCCAGGTTATCACCAGAGTCTTAGACACAAAATGGAGAGACCATTTCTCTCCCCTCATTGCAGCCACCCCCAGTGGAAACAAATGTACAAAGTCTCCCGTAGCCAAACGCTGCGGTGACCTCCAGTAGAGATTGGCACACTGCACGCTGCCATCGGCCGTGTGGCTCAGCCGAATCTCGCCGGGGGTAACAGATTTGTGCATTTCTTGCGGTGCCAGGGAGGATCTGCCCCACCAGTACTTATGCTTCCAGCACATCAAACCAAGGTTCCGCCTTTTGGGGGACATCTTCAGGAAACTGGGGGTGCCCTTCTACAACAGCAGCTTCGTATATGGGGTGGTGCCTTACCTGGCTAACAAGCGCCATGACTTCGCCAACTTCGCCTGTGCTCAGACGAAGATGGCGGTGTACAGGACGAGGAAGAAGATGCTGCAAGGTGACACTGACGGCTGCTCTGTGCTTCCAGTGTTCAGGGGCCTGCTCAAGGCGCGGCTCCGGCCGGAGCACGCCACGTACCACTCACATGCCGGTGATGTGCAGCGCGTCTTCGAACGCTGGAGAGCCGGACAAGCGCTCTGTACCAGTGTGGACGGCACCCTCGTGTTCACCTTCTGAAACACTCGCTCGTCGCCGTGGCACGCCTCGATGACCACCACCACCACGTGACCTTTGTTTTGTGTTGTGCACGGCGCATCTAGCCACATCGCGTGGGGATTCCTAGTGTTTGCTATTTGTGTTGCTGGTGACTTTATACTCTTTGGTTCTATTCGGTAAAGTCACGTAGGTAAAAAAATAAAACAACAAAAATCACGACGTTTCGGCCACAACACAAGTAGCCTTCTTCAGGTGAAGGAACAGAACTGTCGGGACGACAGAGCTTCATTGAAGCTTCATTGAAGCTCTGTCGTCCTGAAGAAGGCTACTTGTGTTGTGGCCGAAACGTCGTGATTTTTGTTGTTTTATTTTTTTTACCTACGTGACTTTACCGACTAGAACCAATGAGTATGGATCCTTGCAGTCACGAAAGCTTCAAATCTAGAATTGCTGGTGACTTTGTGTGTTTGTGTTGCTGGTGACTTTGTGTATTTCGTATCGCAATCTCCTCCAGTGCTGTTGCTGCTGGCGGCAATAAAATTTGTTTAAAAGTCTCTGTATGCTATGGGTCCGAGTTTACAGCAGCAGAAGCAGCATGGGGCTGAGTAGATCTATATCTCATCAGCTGCAATACACGCTGTTAACCCGTGTGCCTGTATGGGTGTGTTGGTCAGAACATAATCAGTGTGATTAGTCGAGTGGCATTGTATTTTCATCAGCTGCGTAACACTGTGTAGAACCTACTTGGTCTGTCATTCCATACGAAGCTTCGGGTCTTCTTGGCAACAGTGATGCCCTACCTTCTATCTGCTTGCGAAATGTGGGGCCCTTTAAAGTGACATATGCGCCGGTGTGAAACATTTAGGCCAGATTGCCTACGATTTATCCTGGGCTTAGCCACACTGAATTGTGCGCGGAGCTCAGATTCTTGAAGGATCTGGACACAGTCCCATCAGTGATCTCCTCCGGCAGGCGAGGCTGCGTTGACTGGGTCATGTAGCCCGCATGCCAAGTTAACGCATGCCCAAACAGCTGATGCGGTACAAGAGGATTTGGAGCTGAGTGGACTTGCCTATGACTGGCATCAGCGGTGTCAACATCGGCCTCTGTGGAGGAGGCTCGTGAAGAACGCTGCTGGGCAGTTGCAGGCAGTCGCCCCCCAGCAATAACGGTGGGCCGAAGAGCGACGCTCACAACAACGAGTGAAACACCGGGCGGCTAAAACACACCAGTAGGGGGTATAGGTGGTGCACCTGCCAGTCATCTCAGTCAATCAACCAATGGCACCTGGGTCTGTCCCAAGACCTCCTGCCAGGGACATTTCGGAAGTTCTAGTGGCCACAAGGTACACCTAGCCTGGCACAAGCGCCGTGGTGACGTCACCACCGCTGAGTGGTGAATGGCGGTGGTTGTTGTTGTGTCTGAGGTTGGGGAGCGGTGATGCGTCTACTGCTGTTGCTGCTGTTACGCGTGTTCATGCTGAGACCGTCATTGTGTTGATGATGATGTGTCCATGACGTGTCGATGATGTGTCGATGGTAAAGATGAAGCGATGAGGATCGTGCATCGATGATGCCGTGGACGTTTTGATGAAACACCGAGCGTCACCCGTATCGAACAATCACCCTGCTCATCGCTCAATTGGGGTCACGCAGCAGCATCAACATCGCTCCTCACTGCGGACAGCTGGCAGGACTCTCCTCATTACGAGTCTTGAGAGTCAGCGAGGCTTCACTGGGCACACAACGATGATAATAGTGCTACCGGTGATGCTGAACCCCGCGGTAAACATCTTTCCCCGTGTCTCTCTCCCTCTCGCTCTCTGTTTCTCCCGTCTCTCCCCCTCCCCCCGTGTGTCACTCCCCGTGTCTCTCTCCACCCCTCTCTCCCCCGTCTCCCCCCTCCCTCCCTCTCCCCCGTCTCCCCACTCTCTCACCCTCCCTCTCTCCCCACTCTCTCCCCACTCTCTCCCCCGTCTCCCCCCCTCCCTCCCCCCCGTCTCCCCCGTATCCCCCCTCCCTCTCTCCCTTCCTCTCCCCCGTCTCCCCCCCTCTCTCCCCCGTCTCCCCCGTCTCCCCCTCCCTCTCTCCCCCGTCTCCCCCCTCCCTCTCCCCCGTCTCCCCCCTCTCTCCCCCGTCTCCCCACTCTCTCACCCTCCCTCCCTCCCTCTCCCCGTCTCTCTCCGCGTCTCGCCGGGCTCCGATCGATGCGCGTGCTCTGTTCTATCAGTGGGGGGGAGTGGCTGGGGTGGGGTGGGGCTGGGGGTAGGAAGGCGGGGGAGGGGGGAGGGGGGCTTCTCATCGATTATTGATCGATTCCGTTCGGGAAGTGGAGGGTGGATTATGGGTTCGTGACGGTTTGATTGTGGGGGGCCGTGCGGTATTGACTTTGACAGTCCAGGTTGTGTTGTTGCTGGGAGGGTGCGGGGTGGTGATTGTGGCGGGGGGGGGCAATGAGTGGGTGGAAGTTGTGGGAGGGTGGGGGGGGGTTGTTGTGGGGGGCTGGCAAGTGGGGGGCGTCAGTGGTGGAGATTGTTCTGATAGTTCGGGGGTGTGGGGAGTTGAGTCTCTTTGGAGTGAAATGGGGGGGGGGGGGGGGCGGGGGGGGGCGATGGGCTGAGGGGCGGGGGAGGGTGCCCACCCCTCAGCCAATCACGAGGCACCCTGCCGCTCCGCGGGGGGAAGGGGAAAGAGGGAGGGGGGCGACTCTCACAGCCCCTCTCGGCGCTGCCCGTGCGCGTGTCCCGCTGTCTCGCGACTCTCTCTCGCACTCTCGTACACACTCACACACTCTCTATCACTCTCACACACACACTCTCACACACACTCTCTATCACACACACTCTATCTCTCACTCTCGTACACACTCTCACACACACACACTCTCTATCACTCTCACACACACACACTCACACACACACTCTCACTCTCACACACACTCTATCTATCACTCTCACACACACTCTCTCTCGCACTCTCGTACACACTCACACACACACTCTCACTCTCACACACACTCTCGTACACACTCTCACACACACACACTCACACTCTCACACACACTCTCTATCTCTCACACACACTCTCTAACTCTCACACACACTCTCTCTAACTCTCACTCTCGTACACACTCTCACACACACTCTCTCTAACTCTCACTCTCGTACACACTCACACACACTCTCTATCTATCACTCTCACACACACACACTCACACTCTCACACACACTCTCTCTCTCTCTCACTCTCGTACACACTCTCACTCTCACACACTCACTCTCTCACACTCACACACACTCTCACACACACTCTCACTCTCGTACACACTCTCACACACACTCTCACTCTCACACTCTCTCTCTATCTCTCACTCTCACACACACTCTCACACACACTCTCACACACACACTCTCTATCTCTCTCTCTCACACACACTCTCTCTATCTATCACTCTCTCTCACACACTCTCACTCTCACACACTCTCACACACTCTCTATCTCTCTCACTCTCGTACACACTCACACACACACACTCTTACTCTCACACACACTCTCACACACACTCTCACACACACACTCTCTATCTATCACTCTCACACACACTCTCATTCTCTCACTCTCGTACACACTCTCTCTCTCACACACTCTCACTCTCACACACTCTCACACACTCTCTCTCCCTCTCCAAGGCTCCCTCTCTCTCATACACCCTCTCACGCACTCTCTATCCCTCTCACTCTCTCACGCACGCTCTCACACACTCTCTATCTTACACTCTCACACACTCTCACTCTCACACACTCTCTCTCACTCTCACACACTCTCTCTATCTCTAACTCTCGTACACACACTCTCTATCTCTCACTCTCTATCTCACACTCTCACACACACTCTCACACTCTCACTCTCGTACACACTCTCACACACTCTCACACTCACACTCTCACACACACTCTCTCTATCTCTCACTCACTCACACACACTCTCTATCTCTCACTCTCACACACACTCTCTCTATCTCTCACTCACTCACACACACTCTCTATCTCTCACTCTCTCACACACTCTCTCTATCTCACACTCTCACACACACTCTCACACACTCTCTATCTCTCACTCACACACACTCTCTATCTCTCACTCTCACACACTCTCTATCTCTCACTCTCACACACACTCTCTCTATCTCTCACTCACACACACTCTCTATCTCTCACTCTCACACACACTCTCTCTATCTCTCACTCTCTCACACACTCTCTATCTCACACTCTCACACACACTCTCACACACTCACACACACACTTTCTCTCTCACTCTCTCTCTCTCACTCTCTCTATCTCTCTCTCTCACTCTCGTACACTCTCACTCTCACACACTCTCACTCTCGTACACACTCTCACTCTCGTACACTCTCTCTCTCTCACACACTCTCACACACTCTCACACTCTCTCTCTCTCACACTCTCACACTCGCTATCTCACACACTCTCACTCTCACACACTCTCACTCTCGTACACACTCTCACACACTCTCTCTCACACACACTCTCACACACTCTCTCTCACACACACTCTCACACACTCTCACACACTCTCTCTCTCACACTCTCACACTCGCTATCTCACACACTCTCACTCTCACACACTCTCACTCTCGTACACACTCTCACACACTCTCTCTCACACTCTCTCTCTCACACTCTCACACTCGCTATCTCACACACTCTCACTCTCACACACTCTCGTACACACTCACACACACTCTCTCACACTCTCACTATCTCACACACTCTCTCGTACACACACTCTCTATCTCACGCACTCTCTCTATCTCACGCACTCTCTATCTCACGCACTCTCTATCTCACGCACTCTCTATCTCACGCACTCTCTCTCACACTGTCTCTGTCACGCGTGGCGAGTCTCGGCTACGCTCGAAGCGGCTGCAGGGTCGCGCGGTGTGTAGGGGGCTGTGGGGGTCCGGACTGTGTTGGGGTGGAAGGGGGGGGGGGTGAGAGGCGGGTTCTCTCAAGGCAAGGGGCTCGGGACCATCTCTGTCGGGGGGTCTCTCTCCATCAAGATCCCTCACTGCCGACTCGACTCGGCTCTCCTTGCGATTGTGACTCTGAGACTCGCGCCATCTGTATCAGGAGCAGGACTCTCATCGTGCCACGCCGAGACTCTCCCGAGGACCCCACCAGCAGGTGGTCTTTGGCCTGTCCACTGGGGGACCCCCGTCTCCGCCGGTTGTACCCTCCGAGCGTCTCACTCAGAGACTCTCCCCGCGGCACTCTCCCATGAAGTCGTCTTCCCGCAGGGAGTCTCACGCATCGTCCCTCTGCACCCCCATCATCATCATCGTCGTCATCATCGCGGGAGTGCAGTCGTCAGTCGAGTCGCTTTAAGGAGGCGACGCTTCGAGGAGACGGGGGGGGTGGTGGTGGTGGTCCCATTCGCCAGAGGGACTCTTGGCTCGCCTGCAGAAGCCTCCATCTCTCCCGACCATCTCTTATCTAGAGCCCCTCCACCCATCCCCCCGTTGCCCCCCCCCCACCCCCCGCGCGCCTCCCCCTATCCCCCCCGTGGACCTCCCCCCCTATCCCCGCAGCGATGCGTCCGTCCCGCTCGGCGCGCCTGCTGTGGCTCTCGCTGGCGGTGGCCTCCGTCTGCGCGTCGCTCCTCCCGCGCGGCGGCGCCGCGTGCGGCCCGGGGCGCTCGTTCGGCCGCCGTCGGCAGGCGCGGCGCCTCTCCCCGGTGGCGCTGCGCCAGTTCGTGCCGCACGCGGCCGAGAGGACGCTGGGCGCCAGCGGGCGCGCCCAGGGGCGCGTAGCACGCGGCTCGGAGCGGTTTCGCGCCGAGCTGAGCCCCAACTACAACCCCGACGTCGAGTTCAAGGACGAGGAGCGCACGGGAGCCGACCGCCTCATGACGCAGGTGAGGAGGAGGAGGTGGAGGAGGAGGAGGTGGAGGAGGAGGAGGGTTGGTCGGGACTGGCGCGCGCACCGCTCGACGGTGATGCTCACTCCACTGCTCACCACGATACTCACCACGATACTCACCACGATACTCACCCTGGCTACTCACCACGATACTCACCACGATACTCACGCTGGCAAACTCACCCCACTACTCACCCAGCCCTGGCTACTCACCACGATACTCACCACGATACTCACCCTGGCTACTCACCCTGCCCTGGCTACTCACCCCACTGCTCACCACGATACTCACGCTGGCAAACTCACCCCACTACTCACCCAGCCCTGGCTACTCACCACGATACTCACCACGATACTCACCCTGGCTACTCACCACGATACTCACCACGATACTCACCACGATACTCACCCTGCCCTGGCTACTCACTCCACTACTCACTACGATACTCACGCTGGCAACTCACCCCACTACTCACCCAGCCCTGGCTACTCACCACGATACTCACCACGATACTCACCCCACTACTCACCACGATACTCACCACGATACTCACCACGATACTCACCCTGCCCTGGCTACTCACCACGATACTCACCACGAAACTCACGCTGGCTACTCCCCTCCCTACTCACCCTGGCTACTCACTCCGCTACTCACCCCACTACTCACCAACATCGTCAACGCGCTACTCACCACGATACTCACGCTGGTAACTCACTCTGGCAATTCACCCTGGCTACTCACCTCGCTACTCACCAGCCACAACACGTCGTTACACATCCCGCTAATCTCTCCCAGTCCCTCATCCAGACTCTCACCCAGAACCTCACCCAAACACCGACCCAGACTCTCACCCAGATTCTCCCCCCCCCAGTCCCTCATCCAGACTCTCACCCAGAACCTCACCAAGACGCTCTCAGCAAGACGCTCACTCAGACTCTCACCCAGATTCTCACCCAGACATTTCGGCAGGTGCTTAACAATATACTCACAAGGACCCTCACTCAGACACTCTACCAAACTTTCACCCAGACATTCACCCAGACCCTAACGCCGACTCTCACCACGACCCACACCCATACTCTCATCCAGACCCTCTCACCCAGACTCTGACCCTTACTGTCTCACCCAGGATCTCACCCAACACAGGACCAGACTCTCACCAAAACTCTCACCCAGACTTTCGCCCAGACCCTCACCCAGACACTGGTCCAGACTCTCATTCAGACTCGCACCCAGACACTCACCCAGACTTTCACCCAGATTCTCACCCAGACACTCACCCAGACTCTCACCCAGACACTCACCCAGACACTCTCCCAGACACTCACACCCAGACTCTCATCCAGACACTGTCACCCAGACTCTCACCCAGACACTCACCCAGACATTTACCCAGGCTCGCACCAAGATTCTCACCCCAAACTTTCACCCAGACCATCACCCAGATAATAATCCAGACTCTCACCTAGAATTTCTCAGCAAGACTCTCACCCAGATGCTCACCAATACGCTCACCCAGACTCTCAACCAGACATTCATCCAGGCTCTCACCAAGATTCTCACAAGGACCCTCACCCAGACACTCACCCAGACTCTCACCCATACTCTTACGCAGACTCTCACCCAAACACTCGCCCAAACTTTCACCCAGACCGTCACCCAGACACTAACCCAGACTCTCACGCACTGAGACACTCACCTAGATGCTCTCCCAGACTCTCACCCAGACTATCACCCAGACTCTCACCCAGACAATCACCCATATTCTCACAAAGACGCTCACACAGAAACTAAACCAGACTTGCACCCAGACTATAACCCAGACTCTATCCCAGACTCTCACCCAGACAATCACCCAAAATCTCTCGCCCAGACTCTCACCAAGGCTCTCACCCAGACACTCACTCAGACTCTCTCCAAGACTCTCACCAAGAATCTCACCCAGACTTTCAGGCAGCCACTCACCCAGACTCTCACCCCGACGCTCACGAGGACTCTCACCCAAACTTTCACCCAGACTATTACCCAGACTCTCACCCAGAGTGTCACGCAGACACTCACCCAGACATTCACCCCGACACTCACCCCGACTCTCACCCAGACTCTCGCCCAGACTCTCACCCAGACGGTCACCCAGACACTCTCAAAGACTCTCGTCCAGACGCTCACCCAGACTCTTTCTCCCAGACTCTCACGCAGACTCTCAGTCAGAATATCTCACCAGAACTCTCACCCAGACTTTTACCAAGACACTCACCCAGGCTATCTACCAGACCCTCACCCATATGCTCACCTAGATGCTCACCCAGATTCTCACCCAAACTTGCACCCAGCGTCTCACACAGACCCTCTCACCCATACTCTATCGCCCAGACTCTCACCCAGAATCTCTCACCAAGACACTCACCCAGATTATCTCACCCAGACTATCTCACCCAGACTCTCACCCAGACTCTCACCAGGACTTTCACCCAGACTTTCACCCAGACCCTCACTCAGACACTCACCCAGACAATCACCCATATTCGCACACAGACCCTCATGCAGAAAAAATAAACTCAGACTTGCACCCAGACTCTAACCTAGACACTCATCCAGATGTCCACCCAGACTCTCACCCAGACACTCACCCAGGCACTCACCCATAATCTCATCCAGAGTCTCACCCAACAACTCTCACCCAGACTTTCACCTAGACCCTCACTCAGACACTCACCCAGACAATCACCCATATTCTCACACAGACCCTCATGCAGAAAAAATTAACTCAGACTTGCACCCAGACTCTAACCTAGACACTCACCCAGATGTCCACCCAGACTCTCACCCAGACACTCACCCAGGCACTCACCCATAATCTCATCCAGAGTCTCACCCAACAACTCTCACCCAGACTTTCACCCAGACCCTCACTCAGACACTCACCCAGACAATCACCCATATTCTCACACAGACCCTCATGCAGAAAAAATAAACTCAGACTTGCACCCAGACTCTAACCTAGACACTCACCCAGATGTCCACCCAGACTCTCACCCAGACACTCACCCAGGCACTCACCCATAATCTCATCCAGAGTCTCACCCAACAACTTTCACCCAGACCCTCTCCCAGACTCTCTCCCAGACTCTCACCCAGACTCTCACCCAAAATCTCTCACCCAGACTCTCACCAAGACTCACACACACATTCCCCCAGACAATCACCCAGAATCTCACCCAGACACTCACCGAGACTCTCTCATCCAGACGTTCACCTAGACCCTCACCCAGACAATCACCCAGACACTCACCCAGACTCTCACCCCGACTCTCACGAGGACTCTCACCCAAACTTTCACCCAGACTATTACCCAGACTCTCACCCAGAGTGTCACCCAGACACTCACCCCGACCTTCTCACCCAGACACTCACCCAGACTCCCTGACCCAGACTCACACCCATAATCTCACCCAGACTTTCAGTCAAATCTTGTCAACTTTATTGATCACATACCCATGCCTACATGAGGTACATGGCAGTGAGATTATTTGTTCCCGTCTTATTCTCTCTCAGCTTGTGTAAATTGGCAACAACAATGTTATCAGCAGCAACAATATTTTAAAACATGAAAAAAAACTATTAAAAGTATTCAATACTAAGTAAAATCGCTGTGCTTAGAAAAAAACAAATTACTTTTTGGTTAATGTCTAGTGCCGTCAGTGGAGGGGGGTGGTTGAGGTGAATGAGGATAGGAGGGAGCAAAATTAGGGTTGGTGGGGCTTGGACAGATATTGCATGGGGCTCTGCACAGCTCAGCATCTGGATGGCCTGAAGATAGAGGCTGTCCCTGAGGCGGTTGGTGGTAGCCACAATGCTGATGTAGCTGGGCTTCCTCTTGGATTGTTTCGAGATGAATAGGCCATGGCCCGGGTGGCTGTAATCAGTAATGATCTTTTGGGCCATCGCGATGCACCTCTTGGTGTGTAGGTCTCTCAGGGTGGGCAGCACGCCGCCTGTGATCCGCTGGATGGACCACGTCACCCCCTGAAGCCTCTGCACGTCCCGTTCGGTGCAGTTACCGTACCAGGTGGTGAAGTAGCCAGTCAAGATACTCTCAATGATGCACCTGTAAAAGTTCCTGAGAACAAGTGCGGTTATGCCAAAATTATTCAGCCTTCTGTGGTTATAAAGGCGCTGCTGGGACTTTTTCACCAGTGTATTCAAGTGCCGGGACCATTTCAGGTCCTTTGAGATGTGAACTCCGGGGAACCGGAAGCTGTTGACCCATGCCACTGAGGCCCCAATGATGGTTAGTGGCATGTGCTTACCCCTCTTGCTGAAGTCCAGAATCAGCTCCTTAGTTTTGCCGACATTGAGCTCAAGGTCGTTCTCCTTGACACCACCTCGAGAGTGTCCTCACCTCATCCACACAAGCCAAGGTGTCGTTTTTGGTGATCAGGCCCACCACTTTCGTGTCGTCGGCGAACTTGATGATAGCGTTGGAGCTGTACCTGGTTGCACAGTCGATAGTGTAGATGGAGTACAGGAGGGGGCTAAGCACACATCCTTTGGAGACACGTAAGTTGATGGTCAGGTAAGATGAGATGTCATTGCTCACCTTGACCACCTGCGGTCTTCCCGTTAGAAAGTCCAGCACCCAACTTCAGAGGGTGGCGTTCACATCCAACGCCTCCAGTTTGAAGGTTAGGATGGAGGCCACTATGGTATTGAATGCTGAGCTGTAATCGATAAACAGCATTCTCACATAGTTACCCTCTTTCACCTCCATGTGGGACAGTGCCTTATGCAATGTAATAGGAATAACATCGCCCATGGACCTGTTAGTGCAATATGCAAACAGCAGGGGATCCAGTGTATCTGGTAGGATGTAGCAGATGTATTTCTTGAGTGCCCTCTCGAAGCACTTCATGATGATGGGGTAAGCGCCACGCATCTTTAGTTATTGAGGCACGCAATTCTGGCCTTTTATGGGGACCCGAATAATAGCA